GACAGTTTGGTCCACTGCACTGTGCCATTGCGAGAGCTTGCAGCTGTACGCCACGCAAACATTCAGTTAACGAAGTACGTCACATCACCCCGAAGCACTTAACAGACTCAGAAAAACATGGTCATCTTCATTCAGTCACCACCAGCACCCGACGACAGGCTTCGTAAGGCTTATAGGAACCTTGCTATCTCGAACGGCGGGAGCATTCGGTCATTCCAGCAACGCAGGCGGCGTCATGTAGCCGTGCTCCGAACCTGTCACACGGTGATAAAAATGCGACGCAATTCGGTTTCTCAGTAGTCATGAACCAATGAACGTGTCTTCATGCTCTGTGACGCTGACGTAAACGCTCACGACATCACCGTCCTGTCCGCCATTTCGACCTCCCGCTGCGCGGCCTATAGTCGCTGGAATGATACATGCACACGTCTACTCGGCAGGAGACGAGGGTCAAAACAGTGACATCAGAGACCATGCCCAGAGTAGTGAGCAGGCCTGAATTTTTTTTTCACCAGCACATTGCACAGGCTGGAACGCGCCAGCATGTGAGCGTGTTCAGGCAGTGCGCACACTATAGCTGTTGCGCATGCTCAGGAATGGTGGGCGCGCACACCGGAATAAACTCCGCCATAAGCTGCTTCGCATATAAAAAATGTCATGAAGTGAATTTCATGTGGTGCATGGTGCCCGCGGCTTACTGACTCGGCCACCTTTAGTCGCTGCATATACCTTATCAACCGCTCGGGTTGGCCGATGTCATGCTATACACAGTTAAAAGGGCATTTATGTGTAAACTTGTTCAAAAGCCTGCAGTGCGTCGTAGCTTTATTCTCGTTTTTATAGAGTATAAATCTGGGTGGAGAATCCATCTTGGTATATAGGGAGCAAGTGAACTATTACACGGAACACACAACACAAGCGCTTGTGTTGTGTCTTCTGTAAAATAGTTGCTGCGCTTCCTACCAAGATGTATTCATACCAACTGGCCCGATACAATTGCTTATTGGGCGGAGAAACTGCTTAGCTGAGTGAACGGTATGATTAACTGGGAAGTTGTCCACAAGTGTTTATTTATTTTATTTTGTAGAAGGGTCTTATCGATTGGTATGTGGGGTTTAACATCCCAAAGCCACCATATGATTATGAGAGACGCCGTAGTAGAGGGCTCCCGAAATTTCGACCACCTGGGGTTCTTTAACGTACATCCGAATCTGAGCACACGGGCCTACAACATTTCCGCCTCCATCGAAAATGCAGCCACCGCCGCCAGGATTCGAACCCGTGGCCTGCGGGTCAGCAGCCAAGTACCTTAGCCACTAGACCACCACGGCGGGGTGAAGGGTCTTATTACGGACACCTAATGGAAGGAATGCACGACTCTGCAGGAAGGCTTCGGTCCACTGAGAAGATGAAAGGGAGTTTCAGAATAGCGCACTGTGAGCCCTTTCGGTGCAGTCACTGCCACGGCGCATGCGTCGTACGCGAGCCGCCTTTCGCGGCCCGCCCGCAGAAAATTCGAAATAGCGGGTGGCGTGTGCGGCCTGCGAACGCTGGTGTCGAGGCGACGTGTAGTTTGCGAGCATTTGAGATTGTGGGGCAGCTAATGTGCCTAGATTGTTCCCTAGGAGGGGCAAACGTTATTGTAAAACTCATATGGTGCCTTCTATGCCCGCAATGCCTGCAGCACCTGCGAACGTTATTCTAAAACCCCCTAGTACTAAAAATTGGCAGATCCCACGTACAAGGGGGAATAGATGATATGCGAAGCACGAATGAGTAAGGTTGATATGTCATCTTAAATTCAGCACAACGTTACGAGGTGGAGGTAAACGATGCCGTACATTACTTCCATGTCATGATTATCATGTTTCGATGTGTCGTTTACCTTCGTCATCTATTCACGTAACGCGATACCAAGTTTAGTATATGTAGAGCTAGTGAAACGACCACGAGCATGCTATGAGCGTGGTAAGTTGTCATGTTCTTACATGACACGCGTGTCAGAATTATCATGTTTGCACCAGTCATATACTCTTGCCATTCATTGACGTCACCTAACACCAAATTTGGGATATGTGGAGCTAGCAAAACGGCCGCGTGTGCATCATGAAGGGCCCAATATACTCCAGTGTTGCGTTGACGCGCGCGCACGCTGGGCACAGCAACGCTACGTTAGCGAAACGCGAGCACTCTATAGTCTGACGCCAGGTGCTACCAGCGTCCGTCGGCGCCGCCCGATGGCAACACACGCGTGCGTCAAAGCAACACAGTGCGGCGTGCGCCTGCGAGTATATGGCAGGACCGGCACCTGGCATGGCAACGCCGGCGTGACGCGACGAAATGAACGCCAGCGAGCTCGCACACCACGTCACGTCGAAATGTATTGGCTTCTTGACGTCATGATTTCGCATGACACACATCTCATGATTATCATGTTCACACCAGCCACATACCTTCATCATCTATTGACGTCACGTAATACCAAATTTGGCATGTGTGAAACTAGCGAACCGGCCGCGAGCGCATCATGAGTGTGGGATGTAGTCATGTAGTTACATGACACGTATGTCGTGATTATCTTGTTTGTATGTGTCATTTACCTATGTCGTCCATTCGCGTCACGTAATACCGAGTTTGGTACATGTGAGACCAGCAAAATGGCCGCGAACACATCATGAGCGAAGCAAGTAGTCATGTTGTTATATGACGCGCATCTCATAATTATCAAGTTTGCACCAGTCACATACTTTCGTCATTCATTCAAGTACTGTAACACCAAATTTGGTATATGTGACGCTAGCAAAACAGCCGCGTGAGCATCATGAGCTTTGCATGTAGTCACGTTGTTACATGACACGCATGTCATGATTTTCATGTTAGTGTCGGTCGCTTGTGTTCACCATGCAATAATGCTATGTCATATCAGTTTTGCAACATGCCACGTGAACGAAACCCCCGCAAGAGCTGCAGGACCATGAAAGGTAGTCCATGACATTCGTGACATTCATGTCATGATTTTCATGTTATGGCTTGTAAAATATGTTTTTCATACAGTCATGTTATACCATACTGAGTTTGGTATCGATAACATTATCGAAACGGCCAGGAGAGCTAAATGTCGTAGGCGGCTAGAGAGATAGATAGATACGCTCAAAGTCACCGAAGTTTGCTAAGAAATGCTTCGCATTTAAAAACTGGGGAGGGGCGAAGGATGTGGGGAAGAGCGTTTAAACTTCACCAAAGAGAAGCATTGGGAGTGGCAAAGGTTGTAGTGTTTTTAGAGAGGTTTCTTTGATGAGGCGCTAGTGGGTGCCCAACGTGAAACCAGATATGTTGGCAAGAGTGATTCCGCTCCCCTAACATCTTCGGAACGGAATTCATACTATTGTAAGGTTCTTGTTCTTAAGAAGAACCGAGCGTTGGATGAGTTGGTATTCCATTCTGAATGACACTTTGCGCAAAAAAAAAAACTACGGACAAGAAGGAAGAGAGCAAAGACAGGCGCAGACTAACAACTGTTAGTTCATTTTCAAGAAAACAAACATATAAAAGAAAGGCAAGGACACGTGGTTATGAATACAGGTTGCTGGATAGATAATCCATCTCAAGATATCCATCTTTTCATACATAAGTCTGGAGACATATAGGTGACGAGGCCATTGGTGAACCTTTTTTTAAACTCGAGATAGATTATCTAACCGCCAACCTGTAATCAATGCCACAAGTTTTTGTCTTTATATGTGTGCTTTTCAGAAAACAAACTTCAGTTGTTAGTCTGCTCCTGTTAAGACTTCGCGTGTATTTTGCGATCATGGGGGAGAGAACCCATCAATGTTGTACAGATCCGTGGGGCGGCGTCTTCCATTCCTTGCGTTCATAATGCCGGCTGGACTTGCAAGTGACACGGGTTTTTGAGATAGAGGGTTTCCAATTGTGGCAGCCCTGCCGCGGTGGTCTAGTGACTAAGGTACTCAGCTGCTGACGCGCAGGTCGCGGGATCAAATCCCGGCTGCGGCGGCTGCATTTCTGATGGAGGCTGAAATGCTGTAGGCCCGTGTGCTCACGTCTGGGTGCATGTTAAAGAACCCCAGGTGATCGAAATTTCCGGAGCCCTTCACTACGGCGTATCTCATAATCATATGGTAGTTTTAGGACGTTAAACTCCACATATCAATCAATATCAAATCGATCGTGGCACATTGCAGGCGACAAACGGGGACGCGTGACTGCGACGCTGCTGCATCGCGAGCGCTGTGAGGTGGTGGCGCCATTGCTTCGAGCTACATAAGGTTAGGGACCTTAGAGCCACAAAGAAGGAGCACGAAGCAACAAATCTGACAGACGTAAGATTTTGGAGAGGGAAATAAGTTTATCGTATCACCGCAGCAACGCGCTCGGACGCACATATTATGCAAGCAGCCCTACCCTTCACGTGGCGTCGCATCACGACCACTCTCTGGACTAAGGTGGACCGACGGCTCCCGTTGAGGAGCACTCGTTTGCACTGGCGTCAAATGCAACAAAAGGGGCGTTGATTGGAATGATCGTTGCGTCATTCGATTCTAGGAGACTGGTGGCGAGTGGGATTTAGCCCGATTTGGGGGCACATACCAGGTTTACCATGGAATGTCAACACATCACACCATGGCGACATGACAAGCCGGGCCCCCAAGGGGCTTCACACCCAGAACAGGCTCCTCGTCGAACTCTTAAAGTACCATTCAGCGATGCGTCTGCAGTGACAAGGTTGATTCTTACTTGAATGACGCTTGCCTAGATAAAAAATAATGATGACATGGTGTTAACAATATGTACGAGAAGCAAACATCGTCTAATGAAATTTAAATACACAGGTAAACCTATAGGCACATAGATTAACACGCATTCACATGCACTTGGACATGGGCTGGCGAGCAGGTGTACGCAGGCACAAAGATGTACTTACGTAATTTAATAAACAGATGCATGCACGCACAGATAGACGATCGAGTAGCCAAAAGTGTTTGTCAACATATCATTCTTTATTTACAAAGTCTCAACAGTTATTCCTTTGACAAAAATGTGTGATGATGTATGTACAGTCAACATCTACTTAACTAACTCTTTTTTTACATCAAGTGTTAAACATGATTTTTAACCAGCGTTCTCCAACAGTTTCAGAACGAGTTCGTACTTATAGTACATACATGAGGCAAACGATGAAGAACAAGACATTTATTTACACAAGAACAACCTCATCTCACTTGACTTTGCCAAAATAAAAAATCCGGTTGTGCTACACGTGAGTTCAACACTGCCGGCTCTGAGTCTTCTACAGGAACAAATGAAATGGGACAGCATTATGGGAGGAAAGAATGATGTGAGGTGAGGGCCTTCTATTTGTCAGTTGGGCCTCTCTGCCATTGATTCTTGGTAATGTTTTGTTTGGGCAAGACAAAATTTTTCCAATAGTGGGTTAAATTCTGATTGCAGCAAGGAGCATTGCCGATAATGGGAACAAATCATCTCCTCGAGCATTCACTACCACTAAAACCAGCTCCTGAACTCAATCGCAAGTCAAAAGTTAATTCCTCCGTCAACCTTCTACCCAAGTTGGTTCTCAAGTTTTACTAGTCACGACGAAAACTTAGTAGGAACGTTGATAATGCTGGTCGATATCATCAACCTCCGATTCCATGCCACGATGTGGAACGTATTGTGCCGTGCAAAGCTTATTCTAATAATCAGCAGAAGCCTATCTGTCCCGATAAGAAACTATAACAGCGCACTTTTTTTATCTCATACGATCAACCAAAACACGTTCACACGCAATGGCGGATTTAGTTTTTGATGTGCTTCGTAAAGCACTCGTGTAAGGGACGTTATTCGTTATGGCAGAAATCAGCTGAGAACGCAAGCAGGGATATCAAAATAATTCTCCAAATAAAATATCGTAGGAAAGTTATTAACAACCAAAGTAGTGGGAACGAATAGCCATAAAATGAATAGTGTCAGCCCAAAAACAGCATTTTGATGCCGACCTATTTTACTCTTTGTTGCGTCAGGGCAACAAAAGGAAGTATCATTGTTACAAACGGCTCAGCACATGTTTTTCTGCAAGAGAAAAAAATACTTGTAGCTTGTTGGCTCCTTTAAAATACTGGTGGTAACGCCTGACGCTGATGGATCAAGCCGACATATCGAAATGGCTTTCTCTTTTTTCACCGTTTCTCCGCGAGTAAAATTAATGAAACGAACGAGACAAGAAGTTAACACGCTCATGACAAGTATCTAACACCGAGCCCTCAGTGCACAACGCAGTCTCGCACTTCTTTCTTTGACTCATCACTAACGACTAGAAAGAGCCCTCGGCGCAGAAGCCACAAACGGCTCGAAGAATCGCTTCGCACAGTCCGAGCGTCCTGGAATGTACGTTGTCGCCGGTGAAACGTGTGACGCACAGGTTATGTATGGTTCACAGCCGATGCGCTTCGCTCATAGTACGCGGCTTCCAGCGAGTCCACTTAGTGCGCGCACACACTTTCGTACGTGGCGTCACGAAGTCCCAGCCAAACGAGCATTGTTTGGCGACTCTTCGGTGCGCTGCTGCAACGTGCACTGCAGTTCCCGTGCGCCACTCGCAGGGCTGGACGAACCACCGGTGCTCAGTCGCTCCATCACATCACGCACAAACACCGACACTGCAAGAACGCTGGGGTGGAAATGATTGGATGCGCTTGAACGGCACCCCGCAACCCATATGAGCTTTTGCTGAGATGGACAGACCTGGAAAGAAAAAAAAAAGAAGAGGTAGCAAAAATGAGACGAAGAACTAACCGTGTTTTGACCCCTCTTCTTCTTTTTACCTGAAGGTTGCGGGAGCGTGTTTACTTTTTTCTCTTCGTTGCGTTTGTGCTCGATAATTTGATAAGCATTCCATTCATTACGGCAATAGCGTCAGTTCTCGTTAGTGTAGCTGATATTTTGCCCGTTAGTGTTGCCATGCTATTCAATTCTGTTACACAATTTCGTACAAATGTCGGTGCTTTCAGATCGTACCTTGCATTCTGTTTTTAACGCGGAAGCAATGAACAATAAAGATGGCTTAATAAGCTCCATGTGGAAGAATGAAAAAGGTACCCAACAAAACAATAACTTCATACGTGATGTCACGTGCTATGAGCTCATTGACAGGTCGTTTCAACAGGCTGTGACGTAATGTCAAGCCGCATAAGCACATGATTGTAAGTAAGCCAACTTGCACAAGAGCGCGAGTAAAAGAACTAGCAAGCTTATAACTATACAAATACTACTATACAACAAAGGCGCACAGCCTTACCATTTAAATAGAGAAAACGAAAGGAAAGAACAGGTTGGAAAAACAACCAGATGAGCGACTGGTTTCCGCCTTGTGTGTGCGGTAGAAAAAAAAAGAGATTTGAACGAGAAAAAGTACTGAATCACATTCAACGGACTCTTAGAAAGGCTGACAAATTCGTGCACTAATACGCTTAAGGCATTAGAAAAAAATATGCTATGGTCACGAACTTGATTTTGAAAAAAAAAAGAATCCTGGCGTTAGCTTTTACAGCAAATGAACATATAAAGATGACCGCATAGGTTGATTCGCGTGAATTCACTGAGCATGTCAAGAAATGTTCTCATTCGTCTTCACAACACAATAACTATAATTTGCTGTAGCTTAACAGTCAGCAAAAAAACAAAAAAACGCACGACCATTTTTTTACATTTATAAAGCTTACAGAGCTGCGCGCAATAAATACCATTAACAAGTTGTCTAGCGGATTACAGAATACCCGAATACTCAATGGCAAGATGGAAAATATTTGAGGAAGGTAGAATATTTTAATTAAAAAAACAGCGTGAAGTGAGCAAGTTTTCGAAACACCGTTCGGTGCGTTTGCATTCGCATCATGCAACGCCCGCGCAGCGCGAAACTGTGAGAACACTTACTTCCCACAGGGAATACTTGCAACAGGCAGACAGTCAGGTGAGTTAGGCCAAAATAATGCCCCTCCGATTGCGAAAGCTCTCGGGTTAGTTCGGTGGTAGTCAGGTTGCGCAATCCACTCGTCGGCGCAGTGCCAACATAAAACGAAGCTGGAAACGTGAACAGGAACTCTGCTCTCTTCCCAACCAATTGAACGAGGAAGATACCTGGGATGGTGAGCACGTTCTTCTTCACTCCGCTGTACATTGCATCAGCAAGCGGCTTAGAGCACTCCATCTCGGTTCGTTGCATCCGTAGTGGATCAGCCGTGAACTTAATGCGCACCTCAGCGATCTATCGAGAGGCTATCAATAGCTGGCGCTCAGGAATGGTGGCACCCATTAAAGCCCAAACTGTCCGCATGTCCAGAAAGCATGAGGTACGGCATTTTCCGCTGACTAAACGCTGTTGAAAGGACCTGAATCACCATATTACCGACGAATCTCTAGGAATCATAACACCTGAATTGAACCACGGACTTTAAAAGCCGAGTGTAGGCATGAACTAGATGTTTGCAGTTTTCGTTTCGGCTGCATCGAAACTAAACGCTCCGTCCATTGTCGGGACACTTACTCCCGCTGATGCTGTTGTAGACGCTGATTTTTATTTCTCTATCTGTATTTCGGGACGGTCAATGAAAAGAACTATTCGGTAATGTGGCTCAGTTTCGCATTCTTTTCTATCAAAAAGTCTCACTTCCTTCTTCGTTTTCAATCCACCGTTCCGGGCCACTAGATCTCGTTCGTCGTAGATTTTATGGGTGTCTGTATTCGAGGAGCGGCAAGGGAGAAAGGCTTCGGGTGGAAGATGCCGGCGTCCCATACATATATCTGAGCGCACGCTACGACTGCAGTTACCAGGATATAGGCGCTGGAGAACCAGCGCAGTGGGCGCAAAACAAATACCTATACTCCGGCCCATAGGCTGCTTCTATACGAGCGGTAGAACGAATGGGAGAAAAGATTTTCGTGGAATCCCGTTTCTGCTCGATCTCACTACGCCCGAGTCTTAAGGATTTGCCTCAAGAAGGGAGGAGCCGTCGGTGCCGCCACGTTAGGCCTATACTTTCTTTTTGTTTTCCCTATTTGCTTCCGAGCACATTGCTCGGACCTTGAGCTTGTTCCCTAAGCTCCATTGCAGCCTTTATGCCTCCCTCCTCCTCCCCTTTGCCCTGGTCCGCTTTATTTCGACCTCTCATTCTTTTTGGGTTATTTTCCTCTTTGGCGTCTACTTTGGATGCGCGAGGTTTAGCACGTCCCTTCGCCCCGCACATTCCACCATTCCGCTTACTTCCCGGACGGCCCTCATGTCTCCCCGTGAAGTCAACAGGGAAGAACGCGCTGCCGAAATAGCCACGCGAGCGCCACCCACTGCGTGTCTGGACAAAAAAGAATAAAAAAAAGAATTAGGGAAGTGCGCAACTTGCCCAAGATGCAGGTGAAGGGAAATCCCCGCCTGTCAGACGCTGGTGGCAGCTGGGTTGAAGGCGCACCCTCCGATACAAGTAACGAGGATAACATAACTCACCCCTGGCCGCTTATACGCGGGAGATGATAATGTGCATCCGTACACAAATACAGCGAATAAAGGGAAAGAAAGAGCGAGGGGCATGGAAAAAACGGGTCGGGTGGTACTTTGCCATCTTTGTCCCTTTTTTTGGCCTAGAAAGGCTGGACGCTCTTGATGGATGGCGGTCGTGATGGACGGGAGGCGGCGAATTTAAAAGATCTACTGAATAATGAGAAAAGTAAAGGGCGTTTCTTTGATTCGATCGATATTTTTATACTCGAATAGCGAGGTGGTCATTTGATAGCGTTGCATTTTACTTTTCATGTATTTATGTTTTTCCATTTTTTGTCTGAAGCATCTTCCGAGGCGACGTGCAGCCGCAGTTTCATCACATCTCACAATGTCTGTGAAGAACTTTACTGACGCATCAGAGAATTGACTGTTTATTTTTTCTTCTTCTTTCTCTTTTCTCTCTTTTGTTTCCATTTCTCTTTCCCAATATACCAGCGGGTAGCCAACCAGACACTGCTCTGATTGACCTCCTCTCGGCCTTCCACCTCTCTCTGTTTCCTTCCTCCCTTTCTTTTCAGAACGAGGGTATCTCCCCGAGCACTTGTTATACTTGAGCTTGCTGTTACTGGCCGTAGTGGTGCTTGCATATTTTCACCAGTTTTTTTTTCTTTTTATAAGAGCCGCCTAGATAGATCGTGCATTTGGAGCACGTTTTCTTTTTCTTCCCTCTTTTTCCTGGTGATCCCACGCTGAGCTAGAATTTATCAGCAGTTTTAGCTATATACAGTGCATAATAAAGGGGGTGGCATGACAGTGGTTTGAGCTGACCTAACTAGAACGAGCATACGAGAAGAGGCTAGCACTGACCACTGAATCTTACAGCGGTGTGGCTTGCAGCTGTCACAGTGAAAGACTATCCGTAATCGCGTTAACAAGGAGTCTTTAGAAAGGCACTGCAAGTAAACCTCCTTTAGCGGCTCTAAAAACGGGGCTCTCCTGCATACGCAAAACTTTTTTTTAAAGCCGAGGCTTACTTGTGTCTCTACCTTTGTTATTGACTAATTTGCATGAATCAGTTGTCTAGCGAACGATAAGTGTGCTCATCAGTAACCGCGAAAGTTTGTGCTCAGTCCATTGTTACATTTGGCAACCAATACCAACACTATTGCAGAAAGAGAAAGATTGTCGGACTCGTAGTTGCTTCATAATTCTTACTAGTGTCTGAATGTGTGGCTACTACAGCCCATATTACACTTACAGCAGACGACTATACAAACAAAAAACAAGACAAATTAACCTTTGCACAGGAACCAGAGTGTACAGAACAGGAGAGGGCTCGAACGAGCTTTGAAATGTGAAGCCCGAATAGGGTTAAGTCACAGCACTGGCATCCGTAGCCTGCAATGCGTCGTCACCTAAAGGTTGCGCGCAGCTCCGACCAAAGTGGCGCTCTTTTAGAATACTCATTTCCTTCTCGAAAGGGCCTGGTTTGAGTCGTAGTTGTAAATGGTTAGTTTTTATTGTTAATACTGTTTATTATAGCTGTAGTGTTGTTCTTTTGTCTCTTAAAACTAGCTTCAGTTCCTGTATACGTATTACTACAAAAAATGACGTGAAATGGGAAGCGAAATTGAAGAAATTTCACAGTGAGAGTTATTATTTGCCTTGTCACCTCAAGACTTTCAACAAAAACGTGATTAATGGCCTCAAAGATTTTCGCCAATAAGAGATTCAAAACGCGACTTTATTTTACGTTACCTTTAGTAGCAGTGCGTAGCGACTTAAACTACCTTCAAGAAACAAAGGAAAACTAATACAGCTATAACAAGCGACGTTAAAAATGAGAACCCGTTATGTACAGATGCGCTTTGAAGCCGGATCATCTGCGTGGAAATCTGGCATTCTACGCCTGCACCCATTGGGTGGAGTGGAGCAGAAGTCTGACACTTTGCAGGATACGAACCACAGCACCTGAAATGTTTTGACCCTGCTTGGGCTTCATTTTCAATATTTCGGTGCTACAGAAGTTCCGAGCACTTCTCTGGCGTAGTATACTCCACAGGAACCTATTCGATGCCAGACTGTGTAAGCGAATGAATAGAAAAACACAGCGCATCTTAAACTCAAGGCATTGCCGGGTAGTGAATCTAACGTCCTTGTGTCTTCGAGTATTTCGAAACATGCAATTTCTCATAAGCCTGCAACTCCCCCACAGATCCGCGTCACTGATGCACAATATTTGAATGTCGCTCCC